TTAATTAATTTCTTTAACAACACATTTTGGAAAAGGCTTGATTTTAATCAAGCGATTTCTTTTTCATTTGTTTTTTACAACCTCTGAATGTTTTAAAAAAAAATTGGGAGAGTGATCATGATCATAATCATAATCATGATCAATGATCAAAAGATTTATACAACGCAATCAATTTGTGAAACGAAAATTTTCCTTTTCTTTCGAAAATTTCCAGAGAGAGATAGTATTGTTGCCAATTCTTTCTAAATATTACCAATCTTTTCTAAATTGTTACAAAGTATGTTGCTCTGATTTGATTGAGTTGTATTCTTTCGTTAAATCTCAATGTTACTATTATTAGTGTTATTATCAATATCTATATTATGTTCTCGATAACATTGTTAATAATAATATCTGAATTAATATCAGCGTTGAGAATATCTGAATTATTTATATCATTCTCGCCATTATTATTGTTAATTTTGATAATCTCAATATTTTCTGTAGTAGTACAGTAATAATATCACTAATGATACCAATATTAGTACTAACAGTACTATCGCTACTGTCAGCACTGGAAGTATTAATAATATTCTCTTGAATTTAAGATCTTTATTTTCAAAGGCTTCACAGTCATTGAATTCCTCATACTCATTATAAAAATATCCATTGAAAATTGAAAATTTGTTATTATCAATTTTCCATTGATATCTTTTTCATTAACATCATTCTTATAATATTCAATTGGAAATGAATTTCCACATTAAATAACAATAAATATTAATAAAATATATAAAATATATATAATAATTGCCGCCATTCCATTCTTCTGAATTTATTTTACGAGAAACTTTCTCGAATACAACAATAGTGTGAGGTGCATTTTTACCAATCTACCAACTAGATGCGGTAGTCTTGAAATACCTTGCATTGAATTAAATATTTACTTTTAAATTCATTTGGTAGGTAACAAGTGAATTCACTACTCCACAATAGATCAACTGTTATATTATCACAACTATAATCTAAAATCTAAAACAGTTTGTCATGTTTCAATTCTTGCCTTGGGATCCAATCCTCATCATAGTAACCTTTTAGTTGAGCGTCACTATCAAACAGATTATCATAAATATAGAACTTTCCATTCATATCACCCGTCAAGGTTACTTTGGCTGTGATAGGATTTTCGACTGCATAATCATCAGTCTCTTAAATTTATAATTATTATGAATTTTTCATTTTCGAATAATTTTCAAGCAATACTAGAGTGAAGATAAAAAGGAGAAAGCAAGATAATAATTTAAAAGATTCAAACAATTGAGTTATGTCAAACCCAAAGTCGAATTGAAATGTTAAAAGAAAAATAATAATAATAATAATAATAATAATGAGTTTACATATTTACGTACATTAATATATTAAAATTGTTTGTCATCGATTTTTAACACACTATATATTACTAAAAAGAGTTAATCGACTAACTATATTTACTTTGAATAGTATATCAATTTATATTAGTACTAATATTAAATAATAATAACACTAGTACTAATACTAATACAACTAATACAAACACAAAAGAATAACAAAAAATCAAAATTTAGCAAAAGATAAAAACAAAAAAACAAAAAGATAAATAAATAAATATGTTTGTGATAAAATCTCTTGGGAAATTGATCTGGGGTAATTATAAGATTTATATATATGCATATATACTTGTACCTTTATATTATACTTACATTTACATTATATATATATATATATTAAAGGGAATCCTGACATCCCTGAACTTATTAAGATATCAGCGGGACAATTATATCTTGTTAGACCAAATAGTTTGAAGGGAACGAGAGAATGCATGTATGTAATCGTATAATTAACGATAAAATATTATTATTATGGTGATAGGTGTTACCTTTTTCTTTATTTTTTTTTTAAAAATAACAAGCAATGTTGATAAATTTTCATAAATTATAGTTTCCATGATGCACAAGCTGTAGTACGTCGTACAGCTGTCGAATGGCAATATCAATTGGTTGTTACAAGAGTTTATCAAGAAGGTGAAGATGAATTAATCAATGATTCCTTGGACATTGAAGGTAAACAAACAATATTAGAAATGAACCATGTGCATGTTTTATTATTAACTCAACATCCATCTACCCTACCTGACTTATTTAAGATGATGAAAAGCCATTTTTAATCGATGGAACATTAAATTTTCGTAAAGGACATATAGATGGTTTATCCACATTTTCTTGGAGAGATTTATCAGGGGTATGATTCATATATTATCATGATAATAATCACCATTACAGTCACCATTATTTAACATAATAACATGATCATTTTATAGGATCCCGATGATGTGTTTGAATTTGTGTGTGATGTTAGCACAACTGCACATACAGTCAACGCTTTTGAAATAACCATTTATCAGTGCATGTATGAGAGAAAATACAAGAAATCTAATGAGAATGCAACTGAAGAAGAACTTCAAAGTTTTGTTTACAAGTAGGAGCAAAATTCCTTGTAAAATTTTGAAAATTATATATACATTATCTAAAGTTTCTTGATTGATTTTATAGACCAACTGATGAAAATACTCAAAAAACTCCAACTAATGTATCAAAATCAACTTCTAATGCTCAATCAACATCATCAACACCATCTTCTTCAACTGCTACTGCAAAAACAGCAGCAGCTAATAATAAAAAGACCAATAATAATAACACTTCACCAGTGTCATTGTCATCAGCAAAACAATCTCTTATATTTGATTTTCCAGGAGCACCACCAGAAGTAGAAATTTATAGTACTGCTAATGGCGAATTACATTATTATGATCCTGGAGCTGGTGTTTTCATATTGGGTAAACCTGGAATTACAGCTACAATACTTAGAGGAGAAAGATTTGAATGTATCCTTTACTATTTGTTTATACAGTATGCATATGTGTACAATTATTAATTATATTATTTACCTTAACAGAAATCAAATTATCTAATTTTTAGATTTTTTGATAATAGTTGATGATGTTCAAAGGTTAATTGTGCAAAAACTTGAACCAAGAATGAATATAGTTTTTAATCAAGTAATAATGTTTATTTATATATATATGCACATATGTATGTGTAGATATTATTTTTACATCTATTTATAAATATCATTAATGTTTATATAATTTATCACTTATTTTTAGACCCACCAATGTCTCATATGGTGTTATTATGATAGTAAATATTATATGTAATTGTAAATAAATTATTTTGTTACATATATTTTCTAATTTGGTTTAATTTATGAATAATAGAGGAAGGTCATGTTTATTCATTATTGATGAAATTTAATGAACAAGAAAGTGAAGCCCGTTTCAAGAAAAAGCTTTCTACTGCCATGTATGAAACATTAAATGAAACAAGAGTCAAGGTTAACAATAATATTTAATAATGTGTATATATTAATAACTATAAAGATTTTTATTAAATGCACACATATATTTATATGATTATTTTAGGAAGATGATCAAGATTATATAATGAGTGCTTATCAAGAAGACACTGAAATGGTTGATTCTGAATCAATAAATGAAGAATCGGGCAATGGCAAGCATTGTACTAAATATATTGATATATTATGTTAAATATTTTTGATTATAATTAATTTCCCTTTAAAAAAAAGAGTCAAATGAATCAGATGATGGCGAGAAGAATGATGATTATGATGATAATATTAATACAACAGGCAATGGCGAATCACCAAATACTCAACTTGCTGTTGGATATAAACATGATAGATCATTTGTTTTAAAAGGCAACAATATTGGAGTGTATAAACATACTGATGATGATAATTTGGAATTTTCAACCAATATTGCAAAAATTAAAAAACCAAGTGGGCTACAATTTAATCCATCAAAAGTTTGTATTTTCTTCTTTCTTCCCGCATAATATAACAATAATTTCGCCACAATATTATTTACACATATAAATATGTATATAGGCTATGTTACATGAAGAAGATTCTTCAATGATCCTCATGGATCCAAATGATGAACATAATCTTTACAAAATGGATCTCGAGTATGGAAAGGTGGTCGAGGAATGGAAAGTGCATGAAGATGTCCCTTGTGAAAACATTTTTCCAGACAAAAAATATGCTCAGATGACTGGCGAGAAAACTTTTATTGGCATGTCACACAACTCTTTGTTTCGTGTTGATCCACGTTTACCTAATGAAAAATTAGTTGATTCACAACTGAAGTTATACACTACAAAAAATGCTTTCAGTTGTGGTACTACTGATTCTAAAGGGCATATTGCTGTTGGGAGTAGTAAGGGTGATGTGAAATTGTTTGATACATTGGGTAAAAATGCAAAAACCAATTTACCAGCTTTGGGTAGTGCTATTAAAGGAATTGATGTTAGTTCTGATGGTAAATGGGTTATTGCTACCACTAGCAGATATCTTTTGTTAATAGACACTGAATTGCCATCAGATCCTAATCATAGATTAGGATTTGAAAAAAGTTTCCCAAAAGATAAAAAGGTAGTGTTTTTTTTTTTAATTTATTGTTTGGAGGGACCTGATTAATATTTAATATTTAACATATTGTTTAATTTTATATATACAAGCCAACACCAAGAATATTACAATTACGTCCTGAACATGTTTCTCTCATGGAACATGAAGTAATTTATTTGTTTACTATTTGTTATTATTATAATGACGCTGATTGACAACAATACTAATAGAAAAAATTCAATAATCATTTTTAAAGGTGGATTTCACTCCTGCTAGATTTAACACAGGTGAATCTGATTTAGAAAAAGCTATTGTTACGAGGTATGTACATATATCTATATATATTTTTTTTCTAAATTAATAATACTTTTTTTTAACAATATAAGTACTGGACCATTTGTTATTACATGGAATTTCCGTCGAGTTAAACAAGGGAAATTGGATGATTATCAAATTAAACGTTACACTGATAATGTAGTTGCTGATAATTTTAGATATGGACAGGATCGTTCAATTATTGTTACTTTACCATATGATGGTAAATACTTATGATAATTATCATTATTATTACTAAAAAGGTTGTAATTATTAATTATTATTATCATTATCATTAGTTACTTTAATTAAGAAAAATCATTTAGCAACTCCAACTAAAGCTACACTTTCACCTGCAAAATCGGTAGGAATTGATTTTTTATATAGATGGATATATTAAATTTTAATTATTTAACACTTTGATTTTTATTATATTATGTTAGGATAATTCAAGACCAAACATTGTTAGATCTCTATGGTGAAAAAATATTAAAGTGATAAAAATTATATATTTATATATATTTTAACATACAAATCATTTATCAATCAATAAATAAATATTGTTATTATTTTATCATGTGCGAAAATAAATAAATTTACTTATATTGACTAATTATCAAATTCCAAATGTCCTTTGATAGCACCACCAACATTTGTTAAATCAATTAAAAATGAGTGATGTCCATACATGGAATTCAGTCCATAATATGTCACATTATCATTCCCAAATATTTGGCCAATATGGAAATAAAATATCAAGTATCAATGATGGTGTACTTTAACGTTTGATAATCCTTGAACTAAATCTTCAATTTCAAAATTGCCTTTTGATGTAGATAGTGATGAAATACACTGTTGTTTAGATGCTGAAGATGAAGAAGATGCGAGGTATTGTTTTAATGCTGATTGTTGTGATATATTACTATTGTCATCACCATCACTACTAACATGACATATTGAATTATTATTATGATCGATAGAAGAAATATCACCATGGTTTGATATTTCTTCAAAAAATTTTTTCCCATTGTCTAGACAAAATGTCTAATGTAGAAGCTGACATATCAAAAAGATCCATTGCTTTTGAAATGTACAATAATGAATTTGGATCATATTGTAAACAAAATCCTACGCCCTACAAATAAATAAATAAAAAACAACACATAAATATATACAGTATAACTATAACCTACTTGCATCCCACCTATCTATTACCAACACTGGCATACAATTTATCAATTCCAATAATAAAAATTGTGCATGGACCATATCAAATGGGAAATCTGGTTGCATATTGATTTCTATCTGATGGATCAATTTGATGATGGTCCAGTTAAACCATAACATCTGCCAATAACATTTATACAAATAACAAAAAATTTATTGGTGCCAATTGAAAGTCCTAAATTGGAGAGTTTTTACTATTATGAATTTAATTTTGTGAAAAAAAACAGATTTTTAAAAAAAAAAGTGTAAATCCTACCAATGAAGTTCCCCCACCATACAGGATGAATATTTTTTTCATGGCTCTTAACATGATTACTTTCTGATAATCCAATTTGAATAATGATAGCATTACTCTTCTATTCATCCCAAGTTTCATAGCAATATCAAGCTCAGATAAAATACCTCTATAATCATAAATAAATGATTTATCATAATGAAACATTTTGTATTCTGTGATGATTTTCTCATAATTGGGTTCAGGACCTTCATCCAATGACAAAGTGCACTTAATGGAGGATTTGTACCTTTCTTATTTAATTGTTGTCTATATTGTTTTTTGGGGGGATTTTTGGTTCAAGTGAAGGTGATGTATCAAAAGTTGATTGTGAAAGTGTTTACAACTGTAGCATTATTTGTTTTGTCAAATCTTTAGAATTATAGGAATTTGGAACCAGTTTGGGACTGATCTCAAATGGGGCATGCAGCAACAAAACCAGACAAAGTGACCATTTATATTACCAAAAATTCCAGGGATCAAAATTTGTAATGTGATTATTAAAATCTCCATTTGCATCTTTGTTTTTTCCTTAATATCAAGTGACATATAGAATTACTCCTATATAAAAATGATAATATGAAGCTAATTTACATCAGATCTACTATGGAACCCAAGAATTATAGCACAATTAGAAGTATTTTAAAAAAGGAACAAGGTGAAAAAATTGCTCCTTACATTTTCAAAATAATTGATACTTAGACACTTGAAGCTTATCTAAGAAAAGAAAAGACGGTCTCCTGTTCAAGTGAGCTTGTGGGGGGGAAAAAAAAATCAAATGACGCACATTGATCGATGGCATTTTTTCGGAAAAAAAAGTCAAAGATAAAGAAAAGATAAGCCAAAGTATTATTGTGTTATTTTTTATTTATCGTTTTATCAGAAAGAGAGTTGTTGAATTTTGCTCGATCGATAAATACAAACAGTTTATATATCAATCAAAAAATTAACTAACTCACTTAAAGGGAAGAAGGATCACAATCAAAAATCACAATCGAAAAAAATGACTAATTCACGAACAGAACAAAAACTTTGCAATGGCACATTCATTCATTGACCAAATGTGATTTTTATTACGCAACGACTGTATTTTACTTAATAATCATAAACTTTTAGTACTAGCGTAATTTTTGTTTGTTGTATATATATAGATAGACTACTTTGTTTGCGACATAAACAAACAATTTTTATTTATTATTATTATTTCTGGAGTTAGTTGATCAAATGTTAAACCGCAGCAAACAAAAGAAAAGAAACCTCTCCGATAGATGGACGTGGTAGATAAAAAAAAAATAAAAAAAATAAAACCAAAAAGGTAAGGAAGGAAAAATCAATTTTTTTAACATCAGATGAACGAATAGTGAAAATAATTAGTAATTAGTAATAAATAGTATATAAATTAATAAAATAAATAAATAAAAATAATACATTAATTAACGATATGTATAACGTCAATCATTTCAGAGTAAAAAAAAAAATTTTAACTAAATCAAAGAAACGTCTCATTTTTTTCATCTCATGCTTCCCAAAAAATTGTGTTTAGTAAAAATTGATTTTTTTATCAGCTCAATGCTCACTCGATCTGTTCGATCAGTTCGTTCGTTCGCTCATGTATAATGATCACTCTTCTACAACGTCTTATTTCCCTATTACTATTTACAAATATAGGCAACAACAAATTTAAAAAATAGTAGATCAAAACCAAAATCATAGAATCTATCCCAAGTAAGGAAAAAAGCAGTGTTACGGGATTTGAGCAATCTTTTATAAGTGTTAATGATTTCAGTAACTAAAATATGTTTTACCATCAAATAAAATACGTTTTACCATTAAATAAAATACACCATTAAATAAAATATGTATTATTTCCGTGCATTTTCCGTAGCCAAAAAAAAACGTACCTTTATCGAAATTTCCGTACAAATTCATCACGAATTCTTTATAAGTTCCTTATGTATTACGTGCATATCATGTGCATATTCCGCACATATTCCGCACATTTCGGCGCATTTGACAGGAAGATTCTGTATCTGAAATTAAACACATATTTTCCACATCTTTTCCGTGTGCAATTTTTTATAGGGCATAATTAGCACAGGCATGGATCCTTCAATTTTTTTTGACTGCTTCTGATAGAGTAGTGTGATTTGGATGTCTTTTTTCATGAATATTGTGATAATCATCCAGGTTGTATATACAAAGATTATTTTTATTTTCATTAAAATATTTTTTTACTCTTAATGGATGTTCTTCTGCAATTTTCTTTTTATAATTATATACAGTTTTATAAGTAACTGAAACTCCAGCATTACCCGGTGCATCAATTCCATCACAAGATGTTCCTGATCCTATAAGATATAAGGCAAGTTCTAATTTAAAATTATTAGCATGTTTATTCCGGATTCCAGCCATCAAATACAAAATTGTAACAACTTTCTTTTTATCTTCCTTTTTATTATATTCTGAATGGTCTTCTGGTATTAATATATTACATACTTCATTGAAAAAGCCTTTTAAATTTGAATCATTATCTTTAAGCATTTTATTAAACTCATCAGGATCTAATATAGGACTATCATGCCTCTTATTGTATAATACTCTAGTCATTTTTTTTATTTTATCACCAAATGATAAATTTATGTCAAAGGATGTTGAAAATGCTGGTATGATATTTGTTTCAATTAGGTTGATATATTGAATAATTTCTTTTTCTCTTTCTTCTCTTTCTTTAACAGATGGAGGATTTTTAACAATAGCCATGTAATGGGGAAAACAAATTTGTTGACCTTGTTGTAAATAAGGATATCTTTGAAGATTTCCTTTATAAGTTGCTTTTTCTATAGCTCTATCAGATAAACATCTAAAATTGTTAGAATTTTTATAACAATTATGAATAAAGCAAGGACCAGTTAACTTTGACTTTGGCATTTTTGAGAAAATTTACTTTTTAAGCAATGGGGATTTAAGTTTTTTAGAAAAAGAATCTAATTTTATTCATGTATTAAATTTTTTTTTTTTAAAGCTTCATTTATACATGTATTTTAATTTTTACATTTATTGGCTAATTAAACATTCAATATCAACAAAAAACAATCTGATGTTTTTTAAATAAACCATTCATTTCAAAGAAAATAATATAAGCACAATATGAATTTTTTTTATTTTGATATTTTTTCCCATTTCCCTATTTTTGTCAATTAATCAATGCCATTCATTCATTTACTCAACAAAATGTTAACAAAATCATTGCTAAAAAGCAATATCCATGTTTCCATTAACTGTTAAAGTCAATTCAACATTTGTTGGATAAAATAACAATTGCAGATGAATGTATTTTCTTGTAAAAAGGAAAGAAAAAGATCAAAATGATGGAGATGCATTTTTTTGTAAAAAAAGGAAAAAAAAATCAACTTAATAATAATGAATGTATTGAAATCTATTGTAAAAAAAAAAATAAACATTTTATTGATCACAATAATTAAAATTAATAAATGTAATACAATTTAACCAATCACGATATTGAAGATTATCAGCCAATCAAATGGATTTTCAACCATGCTGGGAAATTCTTGCTTCTATATAGTAAAAAAAAATGAATGAAGGTATTTTTTTCTTACACTATTTTAAAAATATGTAGCATTTTTACATCATAAATTAATATACGCTAGACAAAATATTGGAGGCGTAAACCTGATAAAAAATGTAGAATTGGTGATCTGGAAGGTCTTGTTCATAAGAGTGAAGAAAAATGTCAATGTACTAAAGCTGATTTCAAATGGTAAAAATTTACATACATAAATGCATATATATATTTTTTAATTTTATTTTTATGATTAATTAATTTGAAATATATATTTTTTAAAAAATTGAAAAAATAAAAGCGCTTTCAATTATTGGCATGAAGGTGGATATTTGTAAATTGTATGGTCACAATGAAGAGCGACCATCTAAATGTATAGGTGAATATGAAGGAAATAGTGGATATGTTGAAATTTCGAAATCACAATGTGTAGGTGGAGTTGACTGGACAAAGAAAATTAAAAAGAAATGTGAAAGCACAGAAAGTAAGTGTGACCGTTCAATAATAATAATAATCGTTAATTAGGTTTTTTTTTGATGAACACGTTGATAATTTGTTTATATCTAAATATATTGTTTTTATATGTTAATGTTATATAGATACTGAAATAGTCACTTCAATGGTATGTATATTGTAATACTTTTTCATGATCATAACAAGCATATATTCCTGACTTTTTTAATATAGATTCATTATAAACTTATATTATTTAGATGACATTTGAATCAATTATCATGGGTTATATCTATTTTGGCAATAGTGAGACTATTCGTACACTAAATAACGAAGTTTGGATAAGTTATGACCAAGGATTTATATGGAAAATGCCCTCATTTATGGAAAAAGGTGTTAACATCATTGCAATGTTCCAAAATCCATATTTCAAATAACGTGTAAGTAGTAGAAATTAAGCATTCAGTAACTATAAAAAAATTTATTTCAGGATAAAAATAATAACAACACTTTTTTGTTTTTTTTTTCCTCCTTTCTAATATTAGGCATATTTTATTACTTATTCAAAAGAACATTATATGACTATTGATTCTGGAGCCAATTTCATTAAACTTAGTGTTGAAATGAATCCTAAATTGCTTCAAATACCTGTTCTTGATTTCCATCCTGTTAAACCAGACTGGTTAATTTATACAGGAAGTGTAGACTGTGAGTCTATTCTTTCACCCAATTGTCACGCAGTTGCTTATTATACAACAACGAATGGACAATCTTGGACAGAATTAAACAAATATGTGAAAGTTTGTACATGGGCAAGAGATGCTAAATTTAAGACATCGGACACATTGATATTTTGCGAATCATATCTTGAAAAATCAGGTTCACAATTCTCATTTATCAACAATCCACTTCGACTTATCTCTAGTACAGACTATTTCAGATTAGAAAATAATAATAATAAATTATTTGATAACATTATTGGTCTTGCCACCTTTGAAGAATATATGGTGGTTGCAGAGGTTAGTTTAAATTACTAATATTTAGTCATTAATTATCAATTATTACTGATTTTTATTTTATCAATTATTTATATTATTGTTGTTGTTTATCATATATAGCATTTACCTTCAGGACAAAATATTCATCTTTAGATTTCTATTGATGGTATTACTTTTGCCAATGTGAAATTCCCACCAAATATGCAAATAACAATAATGTAATAATAATTATAATTATACCAATATCAATATCAATAATTTTTTACATTATTTGACAGCATTTTAATCATTTACTAACCCACAATTTTTTTTCACCCAAATCAAAAATTCAAAAGGCATTTACTGTTTTAGAATCTACCACACATTCAATCATACTTCATGTTACCACATCATCGTTAATGAATAATCAATGGGGAAACATTTTAAAATCTAATTATAACAGAACTTACCATTCACTTTCATTGGAACATGTTAATCATGATGTTTGTGGATTTGTTGATTTTGAGAAAATGAGAGGAATTGTTGGAATTTCAATGGCAAACATTGTTGGTAATGTTCATGAAGTTAATATGGGCAATAATAAAAAATTAAAATCTAAAATAACATTTAATGATGGTAAGTTATCAAGGAATATATATATATATATATATATATTTGTTTTAGGCGGTTTGGCATGAAACTTAAGAGTCTTGAATGAACAGTAGTCCAGGTTATTTCTCCTTTCTAATAAATGTGATGTTTATAATATTAGGAAACACATGGAGCTTTTTAAATCCTCCTAAAGAAGATGCAAATGGTCGAAAATATGAATGCAATGTATTGTATCAATTTCTTTTTGCAAATGATGAATTTAGTATTAGATGACTGGTATTTTTTTAACACTGTAATTTACATTGTTGTTATTATTAGGATTGTAATTTGCATCTTCACAGTTATACAGAAAGAAGAGACCCTCGTGATGCATTCAGTAGTAGTACAGCTGTTGGATTAATGATGGGTGTAGGGAATGTTGGAGATTATTTAACCCCATACTCGGAGGGTAACACTTACCTGACAAATGATGCAGGATTCACATGGAGAGAAGTCAAAAAAGGTGCTTATATGTATGAATTTGGAGATCAAGGTGCAATTATAGTTATAATGGATGATAAGTCACCTACAGATCATGTATTGTAAGTTTTTTTTCAATTCGATTCCCTCCTTTTTTCGGAATCTTATTATTCAATAATGAATATATGAATAATATGAATGATGTTGATTTTGTAGGTATTCATTTGATGAAGGCCAATCATGGTCTGAATTTAAATTTTCAACTGAACTTGTCAGAGTACGTGATATTGCTACAGTACCTGGTGGAATTAGTAGGAGGTTTATCTTGAGAGGTAGCCCTCAAAATAACTATAACAAAGAAGTAATAATTCATCTTAATTTTGAAGGCAAGCTTTCAAGAAAATGTAAGAATTTTTTTTCCTCCACATAATCAATCAATAATTTTTTTTATTAAAATATTTATTAAATATATTTTAATTTTAATGTTATTTATTAAAAGGTAAATTGGACATGAATGATGATGAGAATGATGATTTTGTTTTATGGTATCCTACTCACATAGGAGGATCAGAAAAATGTTTGTTTGGTCCTGAGGTATGTCTAATAAAAATTTTATTTAAAAAGTTTTCATTCTTATTATAAAAATTTAATATCTGTTATTTGTAGAGTGGATATCACCATAGAATAGTTGAAAAGAACTGTTATATTGGCAACGAACTTATTCAACCTAAAACAATTGATAAGGATTGTGTTTGCACCATGCATGACTTTGAATGGTAAGTCAAAGAACTTTTGTTTCAGAACCCAATTAACATTACTAATTTCTAAATTGTAACCATTTATTTATTTATATTTAAAGCGATTACAATTATGTCCATAAAAATGGTAGTGATAAATGTGAATTATTTCCTGGTGCCCAGCCTTTGGCTGAAGATCCAAATGATATGTGTTCTAGTAGTGATCATTATTATAAATCAATAGGGTAATTTTAAATATTATTATTATATAGGAGATATTTTATTTAGTAAAATGCTTTTTAGATGTTTATTTACCACATATTATTATTATATAGGTATAGAAAGGTTAAAATGAGCTCATGTAAAGGGGGCGAAGAGAATTATATGGGTGAAAAAATACCATGTCCTGGACGAATAGTTGGCTCAACAAGTTTCTGGGTATTCTTTATTATTGTAATATTTATTTCTGTAGGAATCACGACAGCATATTTAATATACAAAAATGGTGGAGGTTCAAGAGGGTAAGGATAGTCTTTATTTTTTTTGTGGATTATTATTGATTAATTAATTATATTGATTTTTTTTTGTTCTCTCCTTTTGTTATAATTAGTCATATTCGTCTTGGAGATACATATCACAGTTCTGGATCAATTTTATCAACAATCAAAGATATTTTTTACTCGATCAGAGTGCCAAGATCTGTTTCAAGATTTTTCTCGAAACTTTCTATACCAGGTTTTGGTTCTAGATCTGCCAATAGATATAATTATAGTCCAGTTTCTCAAGATGAATCACATCAAGTTTCATTAGAAGATTATGATAATGATAATTAATTTAATTCATGATTTCACTATGATTTTTAAATTTTTAAAATTTTTAAAATATAATTTTGTAAAATAATGTTTATCATTAGAAAAAATATATGTATATTTATATGTCATCAAAAAGGGATCAATTAAATAATAAATTGAATATTATTTTTTAGAATCGTCGTTATTGAAACATTGAAATGTTAATCAATCAAGAAAAATACATCTTTTTTTTATATACCTAAATAATTTTATTTTAAGATCATAGTGTTGTAAATTCTTTGTTTAATATAAAAAAAGCACATCAGTGGTTCTCTAGTTTATTATTTATATATTGCAATCTTCCTCTTGAGTCTGAAAATAAATAAATGCATCAGTAATAATAAAGTTTTGCTATCCTAAATTTATTATTTTTTAATCAATTGGTTATGTATGGGAAATTATAATATTTATTTATCAAATCCTAATACTAAGCAAAGATAACCCAATCAAATAAAACAAAATAAATACATGACAATAGCATATTAGTTTTTTGTATCGTTGAAGTTATTCTTCACCAGGCATTCCTACAACCCGCTTGGAGTATTCAGATAAGACAGAGTATTCCTGTGCTGAAGCTGTTGTTCACTAGACTTTCTAAACATCACTTGGAACTGAATTTTTTCTTTCGATAAATCCTACCCATCACAGCTATTATTATAAAAATCGAAAATATTATTACTGATATTCGAACAGTATTTAGTGATGATGATGGTGCCAAGTTTACCTCGGATGCTGAATAAAATTGCATAATCTTCAATATCAGTATATAAGCATTTGTGCCAATGATTTTGGAAATCCAAAATCATCTAAATACTAAAATATGAAAATCACGTAGAAACTAAAATGATCAATAATTGCCATTTTTTTAATAATGTTCTCAAATTACTCTCTCTTCTAACAATACTCACTTTGATAAATCGGTTTTTTGGTCCCTCTTGTCTTTTTTAAAACCCGTTATTTAAAAATTGTAAAATAAAGGGTCAATAAAATTTCATATCCAAACACCCACCCCAAAATTTTAATTATAAATTTACTATTCTTCTTGTACCACACATTACGCGTCTTTTTTTTTATTTATTTTTAATTTTACTCATTTGTTTTGTTTTGTTATGCCTTTATTTTTTATATAATAGCCTAAATAAACGTGGAGCAAAACTTGTAGTCTTTTATATGATAGGTAATTATTCAACATTCTTTACACAACTATTTTTTGAGAGCAAATACACAAGATTATGATTGTTTGTGTTATTTGTTATCAATATTAATTAGAGATCTCTATCTCATAGATACTTGGACAATTTGGAAACACGGAAACACCAAACAATTTAATATACAGTTTTGATTACTGGAAGCTTATAGTTAAACCATTTCTTATTCCTTGAGCACATAAGGCTAATCTGACTTGACCTCCTAGGATATAAATGCAATTGAACTTCAGAGGAGTACCATAGATCTCAGGTTCATGATGGTATTGCATTATTGGCATTATTGTCAAGGAGGCTGTTAAAGCCTTTCACTTGTCTGAAGTCTTCCAACATGCGGGGGGCTCCATAACTGTGGTAGGGGCGGCTCCGCAGTTATGGGTTGCAATAGCATTTAGCATGTAACTGCGTGTTGCAGAGGAAACTTAATCAAATCTGACACATAATCATCAATATCAGATTTGCTCATTTTATTTCTTTTTCAATGACTTTTAGGGAACAATTGTACATGGGATCAAAATTTGTGTGAGTGGGGCGAGAGTTTTGGTACGAAATTCACACAGATTTCAAATTCATGCACAAGGAACAAGTGGGGACGCACCAAGGGTTTATTTTCTAACTCTGCCAATTATGTGGCTTTTTCCAAAATTGATTTCTTTAAATTTCATTTCTGCATGGCCCTGGTATTATCATTACTTGGGTGATGCAATTTATCAATTTATTTATTTGTTAACTCTTTACAAATTAAGGACGATGGTATCAAATGTATTACTGAAATTATTATTACATGTATTTGATCTATAGATAAGGGAATTCCATATGAATTAATAAAGTATACATATCATGAGAAAAAACGTATCAAATTAACTGAAATTACCACAACTCAGTCAATATCTGTCTGTTTTGGGTAAAAACAACTACCATTTGAATTCTCTCGATGAGATGTCTAATTCATAAAATTCTAATCACTAGTTACTATAAGCAATTAATGATCATAGATGGATCTGCATAAGATTCCGACGAAAAAATTTTTTTTTTTTTTGGACATTTCAAATAATGAAAACCCTTAAATGCTATTTATCAAAATTAACTGATCCTTGGATAAACCTTGCATTCGAAGAGTGGTAATATATGGTTTGTTTAATTAATTAATATTTTATAATTAGAAAAGGAGTTATTTTTTATTTTTTTAAAAATAAAAGCAAGTTGGTTGTTTAATTGTTTTGTTTATTCAAAAAAAAGGTTATTCCGAGATACTGATCCAAACAAAACAATATTATACTTGTGGAGAAATGATCCTTGTGTAGTTATTGGTAGAAATCAGGTAATTTAACAAAGTCTAAAATTTATTTTTAATCTTTTAATTCAAATCATTTATTCATTAGAATCCATGGAAAGAATGCAATGTTCAACTATTAAATAATCATAAAGTTCCACTTATACGTCGAAAAAGTGGAGGAGGAACTGTTTTTCATGTAATATATTTATGCATTTTTATAACTATATATTTATGCATTTTTATAATTATATATTTGTATAATTATATTTACATATATTTATATATATCTATATAGATACATGATTAATCTATCTTTGTTAAATTATTTCTCATTGGTAAACCAACCAATTAATTAAAGGATCTCGGAAACACAAATTACTCTTTAATCACTCCAAGACAAGATTTTTCAAGAAAAAATGCTGCTGAATTGGTAACGTTAGTTTTACAATCATCATTTAATGTGCCAGCTTATGTTAGTGAAAGATATGATATTAAAATAGATAATTTTAAAATATCCTTCAATTAAACCAACCAACCAACCAACCAACAAATTAATTGATTGATTAAATCGATAACAATCCTTAACTTTTTTTATAAATTACATTTCAGGATCTGCATTCAAATTGATTACTGGTAGATCATATCATCATGGAACTATGCTAATCAATGCCGACATTAACAAAATAAGACGCTATTTAAAAGTTGAAAAAGTAAATCATTATTACTTATTGCCATTGTTATTAAATTTTTGATTTTCAAAAATACGTTTCTAAATTCTCTTGATGATATTATAATTATAATTATTTGTTTAGGAAAAATTAATAACTAAAGGCGTTGAATCTATTCCATCACCTGTCACAAATCTTATCAACTACTCTTCATCGATAAATCATCAATTATTTTGCGATTCAATGATAAAAGTTTTCATGAATCATTATCATAATAATTGTGATAAAAATTTTGATTATAATAATGTCGATTTTCTTCAGGTGATTATTGATTGATATATTGGCTTATTGACAATAATATTTGATATTTTAAATACTTATTTATATTTTAGCATATTGATGATAGAATTATTACTGAAATTCCAAAGATTAATCAATATGTTGATGAACTTAAGGTTTGTTATTGCCGCACTTCTTATACAATTACAGACATCTAAACATTTTTATATTTTGCATTAAAAATATACATATATATAATTTATTTTACAATTATTATCTTTTTTAAAAATCAAGTCATGGGAATGGACTTTTGGTCAAACACCAGAATTTACTCATGAATTCGAAACAGAATTTAAATGGGGCCATGTGGTAATATTGTTTATTAATATAAACAGACAAATTAAAAAAATTTTTGTATTTTTTTCCAAGTAATATTAATGGGATAATATTAATAATGACCATTTAGAAAGTATTCATTAAATCTAAAAATGGATTAATAAAAGATGTTATCTTCACATCCACTATGGAAAAATATTATTATTTGCTTGATATTTTCAAAGAGTCATTAGAAGGTTACTATATTTCGCATCATTGCTGTTATTATTATTTGTTATTTAAATTTACATATTTTTTTACAAATTTTCTCCGGATTTTCCTTTCTTTATAGGATGTAAATATGACGAGGAAGTAATAGATCAAGCTGTTGATAAAATTTTTATGAACGTAGAATTATTTCTTGATATGGGAATTTATGAACCATTGGATGAAATAAATGAATTGATTACTAATCTAAGCATTTGGATAAAAAAATCTTTGTGAAGAATTATTAATTTATTTTCGTAATAAAAGGTTTTTTTTTGTATTATTAATAAGGTATTTATAATTATTTATATTATTTATTTATATTTTTACAATGATGCTATATAAAAAATATATGTTAGACTTCTGATTTTAAATTTAAAAATTTGAAATTTGAAAGAAAAAAATTATTCTGAGAAAATATTTAACTTTTTTATGAAATATAATATTTAATTATTATCGAATATTAATATGCAAAACTTTTAATTCTAGCGCAAGAACCTCGGAATTATCAATGCAATTTTTTTTTATTTCAAATATTAATGTTATTTATTAAATTTAATACATAAATTATTAAATTAATACGATGTTTATCAATCCGTCTATTTGATTTTTCATTTCTCATTTGTTCACCTTGTACCTCCATCTGCCTATTCACATGTTTCCAACGTCAATGATCTATCTATATCATTCTCCGTCAATTAAACGCTCTTCAATTTGTGACTCCTGGTTTCACTAATGGAATGTTAAAAAAATTATCTCTTAAACGGTCAGAGTATTCTTTAATGGTAACACAAATTAAAGTTTTGATCGTTCTTATTGGTCAATTTAACGATCAGCAAAGTTAAAAACAGTCAATCGACCAAATTTTAAAGATTTTACAAAAACCACAAGGACAACAACCGGATTTTTATTTATAGATTAATCGGATGAATCTCAAAGATCATTTTCGTATTAGAAAGTGATGCCCTCAGAAAAAATTTTTTATATCAGAAAAATTTTATCAGCTATCAATAGATTAACCATTTAAGGAATAAATAAGACATGAATCAAGAATCTTATTTAATAACTAAACTCTTGTAACCAACTTTAGAAATAAAACTTCTATTATAAATTAACCTTATCATTAATAAATTAAAAATAATCCTTGCAAATTGTTAACACAATGCTTGTCAGTAAAGTGTCCTGTCAATAGATTGTCTTGTTGGTAGATTGTCTTGTCAGTAAAGTGTCCTGTCAGTAAAGTGTCTGGGTCTGAATTTATTTATATCCAAAAGCTTAATAATCATGAAGTAATCTGTTACATAAGGAATTCATTTATAATTTTAATAACAATAACAAGGAAAAAAAGAAGACATAATAAATCATCTATATACAAAAGGTATAATTTAACAATTTACTATTAATTTTAACATGCATTGTTAATAATAATAGGAAAGGGAAAGATGCATTTCTTCTAGTCCAAGTCCTAGTTGAAGACTTACTCCTAATACTTGTCTTACTAGCAGGATTCTAAAAGAAGATTGAATGACAGGTTAATGAATTCAAAAAAAAAACTTCCTCAGTATATACCATTTATGAAAAAATTTATTGAATTTGTTTAATAACTTCACGATTATGATTTACAACTATTGTCTATTTTTTGGTAGGCTCATAAAGCAGTTAAAAATACACATAATACATAATTTTGGTAGTTGTATGATCATTTAATAAAGCCCTTGCCAAGTTTCCTTCATAAAATTTTTTTCAATGAAAAGATCTGCATAAATTTTAGCCAATCATTGTTGTTTTGATTTTTTTCTAGAGCCTAGATCGTTGATTATTATATATATACGGTATTTAGAAATTCCAAATATAGAAATCTCCCTGACTGCAGTACTTAGAAATCCCACATTTGGTAATAACCCTGACCGTTATAATAATAAAAGCAAGATGATGTCATTTGGGCACTCCCTAATATAGATATATATTAATATATATTTGTGAAACAAAAAATTATTATTATATTACTTTTCATACTGTTGAATTATAATTAAGCAAAAATGGCCTCAATACTAAAAAAAAAAGTTGAGTGAATCGTTCTTGAAAATGATTTAATAAAGTTTTCTTTTAATTGTAAAAATTATCCATTTCCTTACACTTTAATATAATAATAACGTTACTATTTGTTTTCCATCTGGTGTTACCCAGTTACGAAAAACAGGAGACTCGAGTAATCCATCTACTACTACTACTAATAGTAACAATAATGGGAAATCCGCTAGTAGCTCAAGGTCTTCAGGAAAGATCTCTACGAACTCAACTGACGGTACTCATACCCCTGCAATCGTTGTTGTAAATGCAACAGAACAGGTCTGCAAGAATAGTTAATGAAGCATTATACTTGCTATTTTGTCGAATAAATGATTATAATTAGAATATTTATATTTCATTTAAAAGTTTAAAATCATTAACAAATTTTTTTTTCTTTTATTCAGCAAAAAGCTCAAAATAGCTTGGAAAATTCTGTTCCCATTTTACCTGCAAATAATCACAAGTCTCATACAAAAGAGGAACCACCAAAGAGAGATCCATTAAATCGTTTAAAAAATACACCTAAAGATGTTATTCCTATAAGTAAAGCACCACGTCGTCAAAGATCATCAAGGTTTCATGTAACTGAAAAGGTCGAATTAGAAAAGCTACCAAATTTTAATGGTTGGTTGATTAATTAATCAAAAATTTTTTTTAAAAAAAATATTAATTAAAAAATACAATTATTAATATACCTTTTTAATAATTATTAGAGGTTTCACCTGACAAAAGACAAGAATTATTTCTTAGAAAACTTAATCAATGTTCAGTAATTTTTGATTTTAATGATGCAAGTGCAGATTTAAAGGGCAAAGAAATTAAAAGATCAACGTTGGCTGAACTTCTAGAATACATCACAACAAACCGAGGTGTAATTACTGAACCAATATATCCTGAAGTTGTTTCCATGGTTTGTTATAGAATCTTTATTCTTATTTTATATCTAGAATAAGATGTACTTTGATTTTTGTTATTTTTTTATTTTTTTTTATATATTTTTGAATTTTTATATAACATCCTAGTAATTCCGGGTAATTAATATACACATGATTGGCTAGTTTGCAGTAAATCTTTTTAGAACTATACCTCCACAAGTAAATCCTATAGGTGACGCTTTTGACCCTGAAGAAGATGAACCTGTACTTGAACTTGCATGGCCACATCTTCAAATAGTTTATGAATTTTTTCTTAGATTTATCGAGTCACCTGATTTCAACACAAATATTGCAAAGAAATATATAGATCCCCAATTTATATTACAAGTATGTAACAAAATCATTACCAAATATATTATTGTTAATAATACATACATAAATTTAAATTTATATAAATGCATATATACGTTAGTTATTAGAATTATTTGACAGTGAAGATCCAAGAGAGCGAGATTTTTTGAAAACCACATTGCATCGTATTTATGGAAAATTTTTAAATTTGCGAGCATTTATCCGAAGATCAATCAATAATGTGTTCTTCCAGTTTATATATGAAACAGAGCGTCACAATGGTATTGCAGAGTTGCTGGAAATACTTGGAAGGTATAATTAATTTTAAAAATAATGTGTTAGTGCACATAAAGTTAATCAAATTTTAAATTTTTTGATTAATTATTAAATTTATATTATTAATAATTAATACAACAGTATCATAAATGGATTTGCGTTGCCATTAAAAGAAGAACACAAAACTTTTCTCACAAAGGGTTTAATCCCTTTACACAAAGTAAAATCTTTAATATTGTATCATCCACAACTTGCATACTGTGTGGTACAATTTTTAGAGAAAGATCCTACATTAACAGAAGAAGTGATTGTTATTTTGAAATTTTTTTTTGACTTTTGATTTTTTTTTGTTAGAAAAAATATAATTTATTTAATATTAAACATTTAGGTAATTTGTGGTTTGTTGAGATATTGGCCAAAGGTAAATAGTCCAAAAGAAGTAATGTTTTTGAATGAAATTGAAGAAATATTGGATGTAATAGAACCACAAGAATTTATAAAAATTCAAGTACCATTATTTCAACAAATTGCAAGATGCGTCTCAAGTCCTCATTTTCAGGTAATCTAAATCATATTTCCTATATATATATAAATTGCTTATAAAACTTTGATACATAATAATAAATAAGAATAACTTATTTTGTTAATTTGTTTGTTTAAAGGTAGCAGAAAGAGCATTATATTACTGGAATAATGAATATATTGTAAATTTGATAGGTGATAATGTAAACATTATTTTACCTGTAATGTTTCCATCATTATATCAAAACTCAAAAGCTCATTGGAATAGGTGAAGTAAAGCAATATTTAAGTATTATTTTTATATGTAATTTATATAATTAAATATTAAGTGTATAATATACAATACCATTTCTTATTTGAAGGACTATACATGGATTGGTATATAATGCACTCAAACTATTTATGGAAATTAATCCAGCTTTGTTTGATGAATGTACAGCACATTATAAACAAAGTCGTCAATTGTGGGTGTAGGAAATTGTTTTTTTGAAATATATAAAAATATTCATTCTTAAATAAGATTTTTAATATTTATTTCTATAGTGAAAAGAAAAAGATGAAAGAAAGGGATGAAGTATGGCATAGGCTTGAAAGAGTAGCTGCACACAATTCTCAAGGATTACCAGTACCATATAATATTGGTGGTCCTTTGACAAATTCAAAGAATGATTTATCTGGTAAATTATTAAAATCAATTTTATCCTTGTAATTTTATCTGTTGATTTTTTATATTTAGACAGACATTCTTACTTATTTTAATTCTGAAGACTATGCAGATGAAATTCAGTCTAATGGTGAAGATGAATTAGTTGAGGATGAACAAGAAGAAAATATCAATGAGGAGGATGAACATGGGGAACTGGTTTGTTTTCATCCATTATGTGATCATTGTTGTTGAAATAATATTTAATTATGATTATTACAATGTTTATTTTAGCAATTTTTTGATGATCGAACGGATGGCTATAATATTTTCCGTCGTAAATCCATCATTCCAGTAGATGAATCTGTGTTGTCAGAACTATCCAGGCATAAAAGTTTGGATGAAGTTCTTAATGGGCCTCCAGATGGAAACAACTCAACAAACCTTTAAAAATTTTGAAACAATAAAACTCTATTAATTAATTGTATCCTAGTATTATT